CTCTCAGCACCGCACTCTCCCGAGTAAGCCATGGGGCCAGCCCTATATGTGTTCTTTTGACTGTTTTCTTTAAACAAAAAGAAAACAAACGTATTCTAAAGAATAGAAAGGGTACTAAAGAACATACAGTAATATGTCAAGTATTCCCTCCTATCCCAAATTAGAGTCCTAACCTACACGTAACTAGCACCAATTTTCTTTTCTTTCTTCTCAGAAATGTTTTATGCAAAAACACACGTATATACAAGTATCCTCTTTAATGGAAAAATTCTTAATCCTGTTTTATTTATATCTTATAGATCTTGACACATCTGCATATACAAACCTCATTCTTCTTAACAACTGCCTGATATATTCCACAGTATAAATACCATAACTAATTTAACCACTTTCCTTATTGACTGGTATTTAGATGGTTTCTGTTTTTTGCTGTCACAAACAATGTACAATGACCCAGGCTCAAACAGATATCTCTGGGCATATGTACAACTATATTTATAAGATAAACTGCTAGAAATTGAACGATTGGGTCAAAGCGTAGGCACATTTTAAATTCTGACAAATGTAGAAGATTGTACTTTCCCAAGATAACCACACGAATTTATCTCCCATTTAACATGCTCTTTGTGGAATGTGACATTGACATTTCTTCCACCAATAACTGAGTTCTATAGTTCCTTCCTTTGAATCTGTACAGGGGCTTATGTGTGCTGTAACCAGTGGAATTCAGTAGAAGTGATGCTGTGTGTTTGGAGGAGAGGTAGAAAAAGAATACACCTTCCACCTGGCACACTGAATATTTGCTTTTGGAGCCTAATTACCATACTGTAAGCCTAAGACTCTTGGAGAGGTCACTGGTAGATGTTCCATCAGCCGTAAGGTCTCAGCCAAGAGCTAGAGACACGTGAGTGACTGAGATTTCAGATGATTCTAGCCCCCAGTCTTTAAATCTTTCAGCTGATATCCCAGACTTTGTACAGCAAGCTATTTCTCCTGTCCAGTCTGCATTCCTGACCCAGAGAAACTGTGAGAAATGGTTAATGATTATTGTTTCACATCCCTAAGTTTCTAACTGATATACTGTATATTGTTAAAAATGTAACTCCACTTGGTCATTTAAAATTACTATGTAATTGGAATACCAGAAGAAGAAGATAAGAAAGGAGCAAGGGGAATATCTGAAGTAATAATGGCTGAGAATTTTCCAAAGTTAATGACAGACACCAAACCACAAACCCAGGAAGCTCAGAGAATGCCAAGAAGGATACAAAATATCTACACGTAGGTATATCATATTCAAACTACAGAAAACCAAAGTCAAGGAGAAAGTCTTGAAAGAAGAGAGAGAAAAAAATCTTATCTATAAAGGATTAAAGATGAGAATTACCAAGGATTTTCTCTCATTAGCAACCATGTAAATAAGAATAGAGTTAAATATTTAAAGTGTTGAAAGAAAAAAAATCACCAACCAAGAATTCTACATCAAGTGAATCTATCCTTCAAAAGTATGAGAAATAAAGACTTTCTCAGACAAACAAAAACTGAGGGAATTCCTTATCAGCAGACCTGCCCTGTAAAAAATGGTAAAAGTTCTTCAGGAAGAAGGAAAATAATAATGTCAGAAACTTGAACCTACATAAAGATAGAAGGGATGACAGAGAAGAAATAAATGAAGATAAAATAAAACCTTGTATTTTTCTTATTCTTAATTGATTTGAAAGATAATTGTTTGCTTAAATTAATAATAATAATAATAATAATAATGAATTGAGTGATTATAGCCTATGGATGAGTGAAATGAATGACAGCAATGTCATAAGAAATGGTTGGAAGGAACTGGGAATACTCTGTTAGAAGGTATCTGCACTACCCCTGAAGCAGTACAGTGTTATTGGCAGGTTGACTTAGATTAGTTGTAAATTTATATTGAAAATTGCAGGGTAACCACTAAAAATATTTTTTTGAAAAGAAGCATAGTTGATATGTAGAGAAAACAGAAAAATCCATGATTGCCATTCTGATATAAATAAATGATTGAATAAATAAATAAATGGGGAGAAGTGATAACCCTCTATGCAGATTTCAAAGTAATTCACGTACATTCTCTGTCCTCAAGGAGGTGGAGCGCAATTCCCCACTCAAGTGTGGGTTACACATAGTGTCTTCCTTTCAAAGAGTAATATATGAGAAGGCGGAATAGGAAAGTAACTTTATAGTGAAGAAACTTGACAAATAATACTCAGTCAGGTGATAAAGGTCAATATCAACAATGGTAAGTCCAATTCCCCACTCAAGTGTGGGTTACACATAGTGTCTTCCTTTCAAAGAGTAATATATGAGAAGGCGGAATAGGAAAGTAACTTTATAGAGAAGAAACTTGACAAATAATACTCAGTCAGGTGATAAAGGTCAATATCAACAATGGTAAGTCATGTTATTAGCATGTAATTTTGATATGATGTGATGAGAATGACATTTTACCTCTGTAATCTTCCTCCCCAAAACCTATAGCCCCAGCCTAATAATGAGAAAAACCATCTGAAAAATCACAATAGAGGGGTATTCTACAAATTACCTAACCAATACTCAAAATTGTTATGATCATCAAAAACAAGGAAAGTCTGAGAAAGTGTCACAGCCAACAGGAGTCTACGGAAACACGAAAACTAAATGTAATGTGGTATCCTGGATGGAATCCTGGAACAGAAAAAGGACATTAGTAAAACCTAAAGAAACGTGAATAAAGTATGGACTTTCGTTAATAATAATGTATCAGTATTGGTTCATTAATTGCCACAAATGTACTATACTAATGTAAGATGTTAATAATATGGGAAACTGGGAGTGGGGTAAATGGTAACTCTGCAATTTTTCTCTAATCTAAAACTATTACATAAAAAAATAAAGACTATTCTTTCTAAAAATAGGGACAATACCAATAAAAGTACCAAGTACCAATTTATTTGAAAAAAAGATGTAATTAAAAAACTGTGACTATTAAGCAATCACCATCAAGTTCCATGTGCCATTTCCCCAGATGATAAACTATATATTATATGAAAGGAGGTAATATTTTTAAAATCTGTGAAGATTCTATTTTTTCCAAAAATTAGGCTTGTTTGCAGTTTAATTTTTCTAACAGGCAGCAGAGAGAAATTTGCCTCTCAGTACCCTAAATGAGGACAGTACTTGAGATTGGATATTGCCATTGAATAGATTGAAATGGGGTAATGAGACCTGTGACAGGGTCACCTGGGGTCACAATGAGACTTAATCAAAGACATTGAATTAGCTGTCAAAAAACTGGCTCTGAATTGCAAACAAACTCTTCTACATCTTCACTTAGCTAAAATGAAGTAAGTCTCTCCAATTTGGGGGTGTGGGAAAGTTCATTCAGGGAAGAATCCTACCTTTGGGCCAAGGTAATAGCTGGGTATTGCTTTGCACTGCATTTTGCTGGTCTTATATATATATATCTTGGTTTCCTGAAATGTTCATCTCCATTTAATTAGAGAATCAAAGTAGAATCTAAACTAGTTAGGAGAGACTTATCAAATTTGGCAGGTCCTAAAATATGCTGCTGCTGCTGTTACTAATAATAATAGTAAAAGCTACCATGCACTGTTTTCAGCATTTTAATGTACTTTCTGAGAGCATAATGCTCTCAGTATAGACTGTCCTGTCTGGATTCAAAAGCCATCTAAGTGACCTCTGGTCAAGTTACTTACTTCTCTGAGCCTGTTTCCACATCTGCAAAATTTGGATATTAATAGACCTCTTGTAAGGATTAAATGAGTTAATATATGACAGGAATAAATATTTTTGGATATAGTAATACATGGTATTTGGAACACAGTAAGTATGTTTATAATTGTTAATATTAATGCTCACACCAATTCTATGAGGTATGTATGTTATCAACTCCACTTACATTGAGAAAATGGTACAGAGAGATAAAATAACTTGCCCAAGGTCACATCCCTAGCTTGGATCTGAAGCCATGAAGTGAAGTTCCAGGGCCCAGATTTTTAACATGTGGTATACCAGTACTTTTTGGGAAAGCAGCCAGTGAAAAACTGAGGTTTTGGGGCATGGTGGAATAGAAAATCCACAGAAGGAAGGTAACCAGGAAAGGGAGCTGGTACTGGGAAAAAGATGGGAGTTCCATGTAAAAACATTTAATAAGTGTTTGGAAATAATAGTCTGGAACTCTGAGATAAGGTCAGGCCTGAGGACAAAGATTTGGGGAAGATCTTCAAAAAGCTGAGGACTCAAGTAATGAAAATGATCTCAAAAGGAGAAAGCAAGAAAAATGTGCTCAGGAAGGGTGTTTGAAGTAGCAGGGAAAAATAAAAAAGAATCAGAGAAGGAGATAGTCATTGATTAGATAGGTAAGAGGGACAGTTGGACAGTTTAACGTCACAGCTGCACTAGGCAGAGGAAGGCCCCAGGCCTCTGTCCTCTCTGCTGCCAGCCTCAAAGCCCAAGCCAAGCCGAACTCCTTCTGGGATGCCTTAGTCTTCCCTACCCACCCACATCAGTCCTACCTTCAGTCTCAATTCAAAATGACCCCACTTCTAGGATGTTTCCTAAGATCAGTACCATGAACTCCCCAAAGATGGAAATAATATCTTCCCTCTTTGTAGCCCCCACAGTATCCTGTACATAGTTGGTGCTCAGTAAATGTTTGTTGAGGGTGTCTTTTGGCCCTCCTGTGACTTTGTCCTAAATGTGACTATATCTTCTGTGAAGACAAAGACTAATACCTCGGACTCCTCACCAAGCACCTATTGTAGCAGGAAGCATATGTTCAGAGCTGATTCAAATTTGGTCACAATGTGAGTTCGGGGTGAATTAAGAGTGACCTGGGGACAAGAGGAATTCCTCAGCAGCCCCTTAATAAGCCCAGGATCCTGCAAAAACTTTTGAGGCTACGGATTCTCCACAGTTTTTGTTGGATGGAGAAGTACCTATTCATGAAAAAGACAAATTTCACTTACCATCACCTGAGCAGGCAGCAAATCCATAGCCATTTCTTCCTTCTTAGTTTTCCTGTCAAGCAAGAGCAGAGTGCTGACAAGGTAGGTCTAGAGAGAAAAAATGTATCATGAGGAACTCTGGTGTCAAGGGTTGGCTTGGAGAAAGTTACAACGGCCCCAAATGTCCATCAGGTCCCAACAAAATCACCCCATATATGATGCAAACCAAGTAAGAAGAGTGTTTACCAAGCCAAATTGCCAATCTCATCCCCTCCCTGTTAACTATACTTCTAGTTTCCGTAAATTTATGCTTTAACATCCACCTAATGGCCTATCATCTACCTCTAAGCAAACTGTGTTTCACTCATAGATATCTAGAATCCTCAGATAGCTTTATACACTCAGTCACAGTGAATATGAATTTCCTCAGGGGTTGGGAGGTAGGGTGCCACTTTCAAACATAGCTAGCCGATCCTAAGCCTCACACTTTCCTTCCCATAGAAACCACAATAAAGACACTTGCCCACATCTCCCTCCCCGCTTTGTGACGAACCCAAGTACCTGCTTTACGTGGTCCTGCGTGGATTGCTGGGTTCTCTCCAAGGAACTATGAGTATAATACAACCTGTCCACTTTCCCAGTCTCTTTCGATCTGCGCCCGGCCTTACCAGATCTCTCCCAAGGTAATATGATTAAAACGCTGCCACCCACTCAAGACATGCGCCAGACTGTTGCTGCATTGCCCCTCCTAAATACACACTTCATAGATGCCATCTCTATAAGCATCCACAGAAGTAGCCCTCCGCTCCCCATATACACACCCCAGTTGGGAGGGCTGGGCACCCCACCTGCCCTCGAGAAGGCAAGATAAGAGAGTGCCTGGGGCAGCCAGGCAAGTGGCAGCTGCCTGTGGCCTCTGCCTTGGGTGCAGTGGGCTCCTCAGGGAGCCGCCCCCGGCATGAGTGCAACTTGCTGCCAACGTCCAGCCGTGCACGGCAGCCTGCTGGAGGGAAGCTGTTGCAGGAGGAATCAGTTCCTTTAGGACGCACACCTCTAGGATACCAGGAATCGTTAGTGTTTCTCGTGTATTATTGTTAATCTTAACAACAACTCTAAAAAGTAAATATTACTGCTTTATTGTACAGATGTGAGAGAGAATGAGAACTAGAGTCGTGACCTGTCCAAAGTCACAAAAACGTTTCTCGTGTATTATTGTTAATCTTAACAACTCTAAAAAGTAAATATTACTGCTTCATTGTACAGATGTGAGAGAGAATGAGAACTAGAGTCGTGACCTGTCCAAAGTCACAAAAACGGTAAATAGTAGAGGCAGCAAGAGAATCGGGGCCCAAATCCAAGGCCCCAGTTAAATTTCGGCAAATTACCTGGCCATTCTGTGCCTCGGTTCTGCATCTGTAAAATGGGAACTGCGTACAGCCAACCTGTCACTTGGTACTAGATGAGTTCATTCATCTAAGGCGCGACTAGCACCTGGCACACGTACGTTTTCTGTAGGTATTAGCTATTGTTCCTATTCTGCTTCGCTAAGAAGTCTCAGAAAAAGCAGCCACAAAAGCCTGACAGACATCGAGGCCCGGCGGTCCC